GGACTTCGCCAGGGGATCACCCGCCTTTGCCTTCATCCAGCGACAGCTGCCACGATCAGCCCAGCCTTTAATAAACCGCAACCACAAGCAAAACCAAGGTCGCGGCCCTTCAAGCAGCTCGGATGCCACAGTTGCCGCGAGACCTCTGTGTTTCTCGCTATTGCGGGTCGTTTTGACAGAAAAGTGGTTTCCTGTAGCAATGTCCAAGCCAAAGGTCAAGCAGAAACTCCCACGCAAGCACATCAGTCCTTTCTCCTGAGAAAAAATGCCTAAAAGAGACATGAGAAGAGTCAGCGGCCGACTCCGAGGCTGCTGATTTTGGTGGGTTTGCCGGGTGCCGGGAAGAGCCGGCTCTCCGGGCGCTTGGCTGCCTCGGGCTGGGAGGTGGTCAACCAGGACCTTTTTAGCTGCTGCTAGCTGCTAGCTCTCTTTAAGGTCTCAGTGTTTGTGTGTCTAGTAGTCTCCCGGCCGCTGCAGCTGATTCAGGACCAGTTGGGCGATCGCACCTTGCAACAACTGGACATGTTCTGGCAGGAACGGTTTTGTTTGTAATGGACAAGGACCCTGGCTGTGCAGACTTAGATTGAGATGGCACATGGGGCGGATGCTACTGCTAGCTGCGAACAGCAGGCAGAGTTTTCATCGACAAGCCTGGGCCAGTTGACTCCTACGCTTTCATGCCTCCTGTGCAACCTTAGAAGGGTTGCATCACAGGCAAGGCGTGCGTGGCAGCTGCAAAGGAGGCCGGTACTACTTTCACAGCGGCGGCAAGTGACAGTCATGGTCGGCGAATAAGTCGGGTCAGCAGAGTTCAGAATATTTCGAAAGCAAAGTAAGTGGGCATTAAGTGGTAGGCTTTCCAGTCGCAGGCGATCCGCAAGGCTGGAAAGTCTGCAGAGTTTCTTGTTCGAAGAGGGCTTGCGGCACTGCCCATTTGCGAGGGGTTCTGGCTGCTGCAACACGGACTTAAGCAACTTGACTTTGGATGCTTTTACCTCCAAGTCTGCGCCGGCTCGTCTTCGTCGATAGGGCCGGGGTGTTGGACACCCGTTGTTCGCCCGAAGCGAGAAACACCGCTGGAAGATGCTTGAAGACGGCATCGCAGGCCTTGGGGAAGTCCCGACGCGTGGTCGTGGACCGCTGCAACGCTACACGACTTCAGCGGCGGGCAGTACGGCAGCAAGGGAGCATCGAAAGTTCAAGTCTAATCATGCTTCCTCAGCTGCGACGATTACGCAGCACTGCCGCAGCACGCCGTATTGACCCCCGACTTCGGTTTGACCGCGCCGTGGGGAGCATTCAGGTTTGGCTCGAGCTGGCCGAGGACTACGAAGTTGGTGCAGCGACATCGCCGCACTAGTGTGCATAAGCAGAACTCAGGTATTTGAGGTCCTGCGGTTGTGGCTTCTGGGCTTGGGCATGATAGTAACGTGCAGCATCAGGGACTGCTTTGCTTCGCAGCATGGCCGTAACATGCAGTGACTACAGGAGCGTGTCTTTCTTAGCTTACCATTTCCACCTTTTGAATTCTGACGTTGCACCAAGGCATGCATCTGGCTGGACATCCCGGAGGACCAGTCCTAAGCCGAACTCGGAAAGAGCATTTGCAGTGCAGCGTGCCATTGGGCTGTCAGATTGGGGAGTTCGGAGCAAGTGCGCAAGGCCTTAAGCTGCCCACACGCCTTTGTGAGTGCACCACACCCCATTGTCTACCCAAACATTCTGCCCGTAGCATGTCAGAACCAGTGACCAATGTGCACTGCTTTGGTCGAGGACGTTTGTGGCACTCGTGTTTTGCAGCGTTTTGGTCACGAGCCTCGGGCTGCACTATCTTGCGCTAGCCCAGTCCCAGCGCACTCCCTGCATGCACAAATCGCGGAAGGCCATCCAAGTTGTAGGTGGCTTCCTCGTTTCGATTGTCGCAGTAGTTCATGCGTCTTGATGGGGTGTTTAGACGGAAATTGCGAGCCGGCTACTCTGCTCGGAAGCACGGAGATCCAATGAGAAAAATGAGGAAACCTTACCGGCTGAAGAGAAGAGCCTCGAGGCTGGGCCATGAATCGTCGTTTCCCAGTCTTGGGCGGTCTTGGAGTAGAGTCACACAAAAGGCGTATTAGGGGAGCAGAGAAGGCGAGAGAAAGAGAGAGGACCTCGGCTGCACGTACTTGGTTTCGGGCTCCTCTGCAGAGCCCAACAACACCGGTGCGCCATGGGCCCGGGATCCTTCAAATGCCCTCTATGCCCAGCGAGAGAGACAGAGAGAGGTGCTGACGCAGGTGGGTCTGTAAGACTAGCCTGCAACGCTCCACATCCGTTTTCTCCCCTCCAACTCTTGGAACAGGCTGCAGCAGTGGGGCTACTGTTACTAGGAGCAGAGTGAAGCAAGCACACCAGACAGACCCTCGCAGGCCTGTGTGAAAAAGTCTGTGCCAGCTGGATAGAGGGCAGGCGGCGGATGCCGACATGCGGCGTCTGTTGGTAGTCTTAGTACATTGTACGGATTTGTGAACGCAATTCTTTTGAAATTGGTCTGCTTTTTGTGGACGTACCACCCGGAGGTTATCGCTGCTTTTTCACGACGCCTGGAAGCGCCCATGGAGGTGCTTGGAAACCTTTCGTAGAGGCAGAACGAATACATGGCCTTTGTGCCATGCACCCATCCTGCCCCGTGTCCCGTCCTGCATCCTATGTGAGTTTTCCATACAGTAAACAATCGCAGATTTCTTGTGCCTTGCCTGCGACACTTCTTGCTGTTCATGTCCTCCGGCTTGACGGTTCTTGGGACTTCAGGTTTGAGTTCCGCCGCCTCGAAATGAGATCAGCATGGAATGGAATATCTCAGGCTAACGAAAGTCTCAGCTGACACAGGCTGAAGGCTTCGTGCGCTGGAGGGTGAAGGAGGATGACGATCTGGAGGACGTCTGCCGACTTGGGCACAGTGACTTTTGCCCCCCTTGAAGTTCAAGCAAACACTTTCGCGGTCGTAGGACCCTTGCTGGAAGCTTGAAGCCACTGCTGTCCCGGGTGCGTTTGGGAACCCCAGCCACTGAGGCGTTTGCTGAATATCAAGACCTTGTCCAACGAAGCGAGGCCAGACGATAGCGAGATGCTTGACAGAATGCCAGTGATGAATCGAGGTGGGCAAGGAATTCTTAATGCATCTTCATGCTGCACTTATTGTGCGATGCTTCCAGAGAGCATTTGTGAGAAGTGGTGGCAACGTAGGAGAAGAGTCGCAGGCGATTGAGTTTTGTCAGGCTGAAAGCTTGCATGTCCCGCCGACCGAGGAGGACGCTGATCAGGTGGGCTGCGATGCTAAGCACAAGGTAAATTGCAGAAATGACAGCAAGCTGCCTCCGTGGACAGACGATCGGCATCAACTTGAGCTTGAATAGAACCGATCAACAAGTCGTATAGATAATTACTTTATCGGCTGCTAGCACTTTCAGGTGCCTCGGCCACGCAAGCGTCGGCGGCGCTTGGACAGCGAGGCAGTTGCAGTTTTGATTGAGTTGTAATCTGTAGTTTGCTTTTCTTTCAGGAACACGACATTGACCCCCCCCCCCCGACGCGACTCTCCATAGTCGACATAACACCAGCATCATCCAGAAGCCTCGCAAAAGGCAGCAGCCGCTGGGCGAGCTCCGAGCATCGAGGATTGGTGAAGTCCGAGCAAGAGACATAGTTAGGGTACCGTCCGGATCATATAGTATGGTCGTGCCAACAACCATCGCACCAGCAACCACTGGACCAATGGACATGGAGCTTCCGAGCGACCTGATCTCGCAAGTTGTAGAGTGGAGCCGGAGGAAGTCAACCTGCACAGCAAAGCGCAGCGGGCGCAGTTTCTGCGGGCGTGGCGCCAAGCTGCACGTAGATGCTCAACAACATCGGCACACAGGCATCTCAGAGTGTGATGTTTCCTGCGCACTGCGAAGTGAAGCTCGATTGAATTTCGGATCAAGGGTGGATTTGTGCTGCCCTGCTAGGTACAGGGCTTCTGAGCCGTCAAACGAAGTCAAGCGGGTATGAACGATCTGCCAGAGTACTCTGAGAAAGGTGCAACGAGCGCGCGCCCTGTCAGAACGAAAAGCAGAAAGGGCGAGTTTCCTCCCAGCAATCCTGTAGGCCCTTGCAAGACTCCCAAGACTTCCGAAATGGGCCAAGCCCCTGAGTTCGATAGCCAAACCATACCCTAGCCCTAGACTCCACTAAAAGAGAGTTGTGTTGACAACAGCTTTCCGCTTGGCCAGGTCGTGCGACGTCAGGTGGAGTATTACTTCTCGGATGCTTGCCAAATTGGAATAGGAAAGGCCACTGTTTTGGCCGCCTCCTGTCAAAGCTGATAGATCGGTTATCTGATTTGGTTGACTGACGGCTCACTTGCCATGCACTCCTGTGCCAGAATGATCGCTGCAGACAGGGATACTGCTCGCCCATTGTATCGGCTCAGTTCGCGCTCTTCGGCTTTCAACTTCCTCCGCTACCTGTAGTTGTCCTGCTTCGGAGACTAGCAGCATTCTTTATGCTTAGCAACTTTGCAGTACTGCGAGTGCTCCGTCACACAGGCGGGGCTGTGATAGCATCGGAGTGAACTTGAGTTCCGCTGTGGCCTCCTAAGCCTTACCCACAATCGCGGCGGCACTGAACCTACATGTGGCCTGGGGACGAAGCAGAAGTCATCCTTCCTGTCGCAAGTTTCCTTGAGATCAGGATCGCAATTTGAAGAAGGACTGGTTCTTTCAGGAGAAGATTGCGGCAGAACCAGAGCCTGGCTGGCTTGAGCTTCGATGGATCATGCACCTGTGCAAGCATGAAGCCTCATGAATTCTCTTTATTCGGCTTCCATAGAATATGCAGAGTTGCTTCTTGATGTCAGTCTTTTCGGATGACGTGTTGCGAAGGGTTGGCAGCGTGGGCAGCGTGCGGAAAGCCGGGTTGCTTATGGTGGTTCCAGTGGTTCATGCAGCGCTTCTGGGAGCAGTGCCCTTGGCAAGAAGGTCTTGTCCCCGGATTGCCGACGTGCACCGTGCTTCCGAGCAGGACCCCAGCAAGCTTTAAGGCCGAGTGACAGTGAGGCAATGACCTGACTTTGGACTTTGCTGTTCTTTGCTGAGTGAAAGGCTCCTGGAACCTCACTTGCAGACTTCGTGCAGATGCAAGTTTCGACCTTGATGCCCACCTGATTGCTTCGTCAGCTGTGCGCACGTACATGTTTCATGACTATGAAATCGGACCAGGACGTGCTCGAGGCATTGAAACTTTCGGCATTGAAGGCCTGCTGCGTTTCTCAGTGTTCAGTCTTTCTGGGCTGGTAAATGTTGCATACTGCCTCGCCCCTGGGCTGCAGAACACCGAAACCTCTGACCCGCCTTCACGCAGCAACGGTTTGTTGAGATCGTGTTCGTCGCTGTGGCTACACATGTCTTGCAGCTGACGCCTCCCGTAATGGCTCGTGAGGTTAAAGAGGCCAATGGCCGCAACTGGCTCTCTCGGACCCAGCCCCTACCTGAGTTGGAGGCCCGGGGGGAGCACAGCTTCAAATCAGTCAAGCCTCTCTTTGGTGCAAATGAAGGGATCTTACATTCGGCCAGAAGGAAGGTGAAAGGCCATTGTTCCCTCACAGAAGGGCCTTGTTGCAGGTGTCCCGATCAGAGAAACCTGAGCAGCTGCATGACGACGTAGATCAGGAGGAGGCCCTGCGGCCATGATGTTTCTAGGTGCAGGCAGCAACCCGTTTATGTCAAGAGCACTCCGAGAATCTCCGAGAGGTTATGGTGATTGTGGTGTTCGGAGATCTGCAATGATACGATGTTTCGAGACAGTAAAGGACACACGATGCAGTCTTGAAAGAAAGAAGACATACATGGGGTGTTCATGACAGAGGTCAGCATTGAAAGAACAAGGGGAGAGCAGGACTGCGCAGACTGCGACGATGTCCTGGACGAGACCCCTGACGAGGAGCGCAGCGGGGACGACTTGCAAGCAGTACTTGCCGTCTTGCCGTCCGGGCTGGATCGTTGTACCGAGAGTGGTGTGCACGGCAGACTGCAGCGGCAGCTCACTGTGCCAACCGGAGGGGATGTTGCCCGGTGCTGTGCTGTGCTGTGGTTACGGAAACTATAGTGACTAGTGACTAGTATAGTATTGTGAACTTGCTCAAGGCAGAACCTGGGTTACTTCGCGAGAATTGAAAGCCTGTACAAAGCCACGGCACTTTGGGATCCCACGATGTCCAGATTTCATTGTCTGTCTGTGCTTTTTCATGCTGCATCTGGAGAGGGTGGGTGGCGGCTCCGGCTTGGGATGAGGGCGGTTGGGTGGAAGGGTGACCGGAGCCCGGGTTGAGCAAACAAGTAGAGTCAACCAGAAATGCAGAAACCACTGAAGTCTCCAAGAGCAGGTATACTGCTATGGAATCAGAACTTCTTCCCCCCATGTTCTCCTACTTCCACTACCAACTCTACTCCTGTTCCCACGACTGCTACGACAACTTACCACCACGACTGCGACTACAACCACGACGACGAGCAGAACAGGTAGAAACATGCAGAAGTCCTTTCCCCTGGCCGCAGCATTCGCCGAGCCCCTGGCTTCGTGAGGACGCACGGATATTCTGCGAGCAGCGGTGGCAGGACCTCTTCCGGCCCCAGAGGGTGGAGCGGAGGGGCTTCCCTCCAGGGTTGGGCGGCCAGGGCTGTCCGCAGTGTTTTGCATTTTGCTTTTTGAACTAGCGGAGGTGGTCTTAAATCCTGACGCGACTCTTTCCATGACTGTTCAAATCTGGCAGCGTACCGTTTGCTACCGCCAACGGCTGCCGCCATCCAGGAAGCTGAAGCAGACATCGTCACCACCGAGAGTTCGAAGGCCAGACATAGTGAAGAAGCTTGCAGCAGTGAGGCCGAAGTCACCACACCCTTCTACCCCCAGCTTCCACGAGTTCAGGGAGTCTTGTATCAGGGAGTCTTAGCCTCAGATCTTGGCACTTTTTGAAGCCCTCTTTTCAAGAGATGAGAGCTTCGGTGCGGGATTTGGACGAGTTTGCTGGAGGCCGCGGACCTGGAGCTGCTCCGGGTTCTGGGCGCCCAGGAGGAGGCCCCACGGCGTGGGCCCGACGAGGTGTGAGAAGCTGAGCAAAGCTGCGCATGGAGGCTGGTGCGGACAGTGACTCCGGCTCCGATGGCTGCGATGGCTCCGGCAGGGAGCTCCAAGCCGTTCCCGCGGAGCCTACAAGCACAGCCGTGCAGGCAGCGGCACAAGGTTTGGCACAGTCCGCGAGAAGTATTTGGGATGATGTCTTGGTGTCTTTTCGACATGTTCCAGCAGGACTGATCACCCAGACGCGCGAACCAAACGGACTAAACACAACAGAAATCAGCAAAACCCCCTACCAAGCAACGGCACGAACACAACACACAACAGCTTGCACTTAGTGATCGCTGCCTCTGCCAGGCGTCTGAGGATCCTTACCTGTAGCTGGAGACGCTGACAGCAAAGATCTCCTTGGCTGCCGTCTACGGCTGGAGACATATTGGAGCGGTTCAGGGCCCAGACGGCAGCAAGAAAGGAGGCCGAGCTGATTGGGTTCCAGAGCGGTGGTCAGCGTGCGGCAAAAAAGGCTGGTGGAACCCTTGCTTGGTCTTGCCGTAGTGCTGTGAGGGCGATTGTGCACAGGGCCTAAGCCTAAGCTTCGAATTCTATTGTTGAGAGATGCGACGATGATTTGAGGAAATGTCCCAGATGAGGGCTGTATCTTGATGCTGGCAACTCAATCCCTTTCGTGCTCGGTAGTGTTCACTTCACATTAAGAAACACCCAACCGAGCCCCAGCCTCCGTCATAAGAGCATTTTGAGGAGCCTTGAAGCCAGCCGCCAATACTAGAGGCCATTAGAGGTAGAAGCCAAGAGCAGCAGCTAGACTTCGAATCTGGGCCAGCGAGGTCTTCGTTCAGCCCATTTGAGCGTGCATCATTGATATTCATTGATCATTGTTACATTTTGTCTCCGCTGCGACCGCTTGGATTCTACAAATATGGAGAGGGGCTCTCATTACGTTCTGGGAATTGGATTTTGCAATTACGCTGAGGTTCCGTAACTTGGAAGTAACATTAGAGTCTGCCATGCTCAGGGTTATGGTCCATTGGGCCTGGGCACTAGCTTGCTGCATTCCATAGTTGCATAGTTGCTGTCGACGATGTTTCCATTGTGAATTTGCCGCAGAGCACGGTTTGCAAAGTATCAAGGGCGGAGCAGGAGCCAGAACAAGCGAAGCTTGGAGCGTCACAGAGTAAATGACGAGGCCCTCAGCCTCTCATCGGCGCAGGCCGAGCTCCACAGGCACGAAGACATAGCTCTGAGCCCACGACCTGTAGTCCCCGCAGCTTACCGCTGACGAAGGTGGAACCTGTTGGCGACGCGGAGCCTTGCGCGAAGGCGCCCAGCGGGATAGAGCCGGATGTCGCCTTAGTAGTTGTCCTGATTGGAGCTATGCCTTCTGGATAGCTCATCTTGTAAATTGTATGTCCCCAAATAAGGCATGCAAGTCGAGAAGGTCGATCTTTGAAGCATGCTGTCCATTGGTCATCTCTTGCGTGCATGATGGCACCATGCTCAAAGCTTTCTGCAGGGGCTCTCTCAGCGGTTTCGGTGCAAGATCTGCCAGGCCCTGGCCTGTGCATATGGTATATGGGAGCTTGGATCCGTTCCTGAGACGATCCTGACAGGTCTTGACCCATGCTGAAGTTATGGAGGCCTGGTCTTGTTCGCGGGTGTTTACACTAAATCTAAGCTGCAGCTGCGCTTGGCGTCTCTGCAAACCTCCAGGCTCCAAGCCGTTTGCCTCCATGCGCAGCTCAAAGACAGGAGATGGGCCTTCATAGCATGTCCGAGACCGTCAACCCCACAGCAATAGCTCATCTATCAACAAGAGTATTCGACATCAGAGCTTCATTCGTCAGCCAACAGCCGCCACCTGCAAGCCTGGATGTGCTTGTCAAAAAGCGGATCCTTCCCGACATTGCAACAACATAGCCATGAGTTCCATGTCGCATGGTCCCGACATGTGCCTTGGCTTTGACAGTTTAGCACTTCTTCAGGTTTGGATTGTCGGAGGCAGTGTTGAAGCACCAGTAGTAATCAAGAAGCACGGGGTAGTGGTTGGTACAAGTTCTTGCAGGTATTAGCCAGACCATGCAGTTGGCGAATGTCGCGGTAGCGCAGACTTGCGATGAAGATCAAAGGAGCGTGATCGGAGGGATTCTACTCGTACGTAGGTTTGAACGGCAGGAAGCCTGACCACAATTTCTCACAGAAACACCGAACTTGTTGAAATCTCTTTCCGAACACACCTCAAAAGCCCCTCTCCTAGGCAGGCTTTGCCTTCTGAAGGCGCTGGCCATGACAGGCCTGAGCCAAAAGGGGCGGCTGTGCCAGAGCTCGTGGTGCCACTTTCAGCTGGGCTGGGACCTGCCCGGCAGCAGGTCGACCTGCATGTCGGACATTGCAGCAGCCGCCGGCAAACTCCTGGGCTGCCTCGTGGACAAGCTGTCGGCTTAGTGTTGCATTGTGTCGTCCATGGCATCAGACGTGACATGCTCACATGCTTGGAAGACAGTCGGGCATTGATTGGCTGCAGACGCATCAGCATAATTGCTGTAGCTTCCCTGCCTAATCAGTGACTACCCGATCTACTCACAGATGAACCATGCCGGAAGCCTCCTATTTCAGCTGTCTCCGGTGCGCCGAGGCAGAAAGACTTTCAGGTTTCCAACGACGACGACTCTTGTCAAAATTGTTCAAACGCCGACTGAAGCTGTTTCTTCAGACATGATGCCACAGATGCGAGGCGTGTTTTGATATGATGTTGAAGATGATTCTGATGTGATGATGGTGACGACGGCGAAGACGATGACGATGACGACGATAGTTATGAGATGGCGATGATGATTCGGATGATGGTGAGGTCGAAAGTCATGTTGTTGATGATGATATTGGAGTTGACGGTGTTGATATGTGTTGATGCCGAAGAAATTGCATCACTCTGTTGTCCCCACTGGTGTATTGCGGAAAGGGGACGACGGCAATGGATGGTTGTAGTGGCGGGCAGTACTCTGGTTTTGTTGTTGGTACTGGTGATTGCCGCTGTGGCGATGGCAGTGGTAGTCGTGGTCGTCGTGGTCGTCACAGTCGCAGTTGCAGTCGTCGTCGTCGTCGTCGTCGTCGTGGCAACTGGCGGGAGCAGTACGGAGGTGCAGTCAGCCGACCGAATCCCTCATCCAGTGCCACCCTTCCTTCGGCAGCAGCAGCTGCTGGGCGCTTGACAAGACTTTGGTTGCTCAAGCCAATGTGTACACCGTTCTCCCCTGTGCCTGCTTCAGTATCCACACGCAAAAGCCTGGTTCATGTCGTCACTAGCGAAGCTTTGGATCTCGCAGACCCCCCCCCCGCCCGACCTGTTCCGGACAACGGTACAGCTTCGCTTTCGGTTGGCAGTAGTCCCGTCCGGTTCAGCGACCATGCAGTCGCCTCCCCGTGTGGAGGCGACCACACTAAAAGGCACCATCAACTGCTGCCCGAGCCTTCGCAGCTGGACTGTCCCCAAAAATTGAGAGGTTGAGGAAACCCGACCTCGTACCTCCGCGGCCTCCACTTCTGCCTGGCGCTCGTTGCGTGTTTGGCTGCCACACTCTGAGTGGTGCACGGCCCCGCGGTGCTGGACCTGTCACCTGTGGCCTACGCTCGGCGCAAGGATGCGCCCAGTGCTTTATGCCGCCCCTCCACAATGTCGGAGCCACTGCATTGGAACTGTTGTTCGCAGCGCCTGGTTCGAGGGCGAGCCTGAGGTTGTTATGTTGGGTACCATCTCTGTGGCGCTAGTCATTTACATTTGCGTAGGAGTAGGAAAGAAGCAAGAATAGGAGTACAAGCAGGAGGAGGAGGAGGAGCAGGACCAGGTCAAGCAGTAGGTTAACTACCGTGGTGGCAGTGGCAGTGGCAGTGCGAGGGTGGCTGATATTGATGACGGTCATGCCATTGTGTACTCTATGCTGTTGCTGTTGCTGTTGCTGTTGTTGCTGCTGCTGCTGCTGCTGCTGTCGTTGCTGCTGCTAGTGGTGGTGTTGTTGTTGATGTGGATGGTGAGGGAAATTGCCGTTCGGTTGAGGATGATTTTAATGATGGTGATGGTGATGATGATGATGATGTTGATGATGACGGTGATGAGTATGGTGGTGCTGGTGCTGGCGATGGAGATGGAGATGGCGATGGCGATGATGATGGTGATGGTGATGATGATGATGATGATGCTGGTGAGGATGATTTGATAATGATGATTATGGTGATGCTGATGGTGAGGCTAATGATGCTACGGGGGATGATCATGAAGATGGCGTTGTGGTGATGATGTGGTAACGACGTGGTGATGATGATGGTGATGATGGTGGTGATGATGATGATGGTTCGGGCACTGGTCGCATTGGTGCGAATGTTGGGAGTGTGCTTCTTTAAATGTTGGTCATGGATGTTCTTTTGTATGTCGTCGTCCTGGCAGCCTTCTTGTCCGTGGTTTGGCTGCTCCTCCTTCGTTTGTCACAGCTTGGCTGCGTTGTTGCTGCCGTCGTCGGGACCATCATCAACATCATGATGATCGTCATCATCTTTCAAACACATCGATTTCACAGTCTGGCTGACAAGAATCGTGTAATGGCAACTCTTGATTAATAAACCCCCCCTCCCCCCCCGCAAGGTAGGTCAGCTGGTGGCCTAAAACG